TTTTAAATAGAATTAAGAAAAAGGGTAAACAAGGCAAAACGACAACAGCAGCAATAACCTGCATGTATGGCCCTGGTTGTGTCACCAGGGTCCAGGGTGGGGCTCTTATCTTCTTCTTCACCAGGTACGCGGTGGCAAACACCCAAAGAGCCAAAATGAAGGCGGGAATGGTGGCAGTGATTCAACGAACTCCTTCTACATCACTCACGTCTCGCCATGTCAGAAACTGCAGGATCTCATGCTCTTCCTCCTCCTCCGGTAACCATAACCACCATTTCTCCTCGTATTCCCAGCCTGTTGTATTTTCATTTCTTCCTTACTTCTATACCCATGCCTTATATATCCAGAGCTCATCTGGGAATTGAATTTCATGCTTGTGACATTATGATGCTCAAGATAGCCCATGTCATTATATGAGTTCGCTTGTTTAGGAATTGGGTTGGACTAGTTGGGTAACTTTGGTTGTATCTGAATAATGTCTGAATGCTTACGAATGTTGACTGTTGAGGACTGTGATGATGGCTCCTTTTGAATTATGAATGAGTTGGAGAGGGTAGGCAAATGAATTAATTTGGAAACAATGCGTGTAAAAAATACATATATATATATATGTATATATATATTTTGTACATCAAAGTGTTAGCTATTTTGCATCACAGAGATTTTAAGTTAGTGGGTACTAACTCGGTTAAGTTTTTGTTGGTAAAATAAAATGTATGTTAGAGCATGTAGAAGTACATCCCAGCTTGTTGCTAGCATTACCCAATAGAAGTATATCTAAATTGATTTAGGTAATTCAATTTTTTGCCTTTTCTTTTCCTTCTGTTGTTGTGAGGAATTTTTACCTAGTTCTTTACAGGCCAAACAAATATTTATCCTATTTATTCTGCAAAGGGTAAATATTCTAGAGCATGATGAACAATTGTCCTTGAGCAATTTATGATAAAATGCAGGCCATATATCATTCATCAAAGACATAGCTGGCACTAAACCTCCTGAGCATCTTCAGAATTTGCTCAAAATGCTTCAGACTAGAGGTAGGTATATAGTACTTAGCCTATTTATCCTATGTTTATTACTGAGGTTTTGGAACTATATTGATTCAAGAATGCCATCTTCATGTAATGTTGTGCTGCTATTAACTTGTAAAGCATCTCAGGGGCAGTTCTTGGTTACATGAAAAATTCTATGATAATGGTTTGTCTTTATTATTGGTTTGGGAATAAATTGTTTTGTCTAATTTGTATGAGGGGACATTTAGTCATAACTCATTCGTTCGAGGATTTGGTAGGTTTCTGATGCTGAGAAGTTCTTTGTTTTTATTTCTTAAAATCGCTGGACAACATTGTAATTTCAATTTATTATGAAATTCTATTTATACAAGATATAGAAACCAAATCATATGCATGCGCATGTCTCAGTATCAGTACAAGCTCTTGCAATTGATTCTCTGTTCATGCATGTAGCTAACCATTTGCTTAGTTATAGAATGATCTGTCATTCTGATTCTCAATTACAGCATGTCAAGGTCTTTAATTTTCAACGAGAGCATGTAAGGTCTTTAATTTTTCAGGTGTCTTAGTACTATGACTTGCCTGGCAGTTCATTCTACATTGATGGGCCAGAACTGCACTTTGTCTTTATTTTTGTGACTTGGTGTTATTGTGTAAAGCTCAATTTGACTTGTACCATATAATAAACTTACTTTAAGCTGAGGTCTGCATTTTGTAACATCTTTTTGAACCAGGATCAAGTCATACTCAAGTTCATTTTATATTCTGTTTAGCTTGATCTTCTTTTTTTACAGCTTGAAGACCTTGAATTGATTCCACCCTGAAGGAATTTCCTAATGTTCCTCGTGTATGCTTTCTGAACTCCCATTTCTTTCATTGCTTTAGGTGAAACTATCATTTCTCCAGGATCCAGGGAAGGATTGATCCCTCTGGCCATTCCACTTTCTGAAAACTTGTCAGGTTAGATATAATGTTATGCTCATATATATATTATGGAAACTGCAAATGAGTTCTGAGCCATTTCATGATTCTTCATTTATGCTGGTTTGATTTTACTGAAATTGGTGATATAAGTCATAACTGGCTGCCATCCCTTGAATATAGGCACTATAACTGCTTTGCTGCGGTGGCCAACCGCTGCACCTGGGTAAGGGACTTTAATTCACGCTATAATTTTCTACTTGTTTCTTCTAGTAAAACAACATCCATATATTTATTTATTGAATAAGATTTTTATTTTTTATTTTTCATTTAGATTTGTCTTCATATGATTGTTGGTATTCACACAGAATGGAGATGCCAGTTGTGGAAGTTCGCAAGCATGGGGTGTGGCTTTTAGCCAACAATGTAATACATTAAACCAAGAGTACGCATTAATGTGTATATTAGATAGAGCATACTTGATACTTGTACAACTGGCATCTGTGAATTTTGACTTCCTTCTTAAATGAGTAAATAGAGTTGAAAAAAGAGCTGATAGTGCAAAGCCCTTCCTCTCAAGATATTTACTTATCCCTTCTAGCTTTTGTTTTACAGGTAGATCAATATATCCATCGTATTCTAGTTGAAGAAGATGCCAATGAATTGCATAAGAGTAATAGTGAATTATTTAAAGCTTCAGCAGAGGCAGGAAAGAAACTGTATTCCAGGGGTGACTTTGCTGAGTCAGATGTTTCTAATCTTGATGCTTATATATTAAAAGAGGTAACTGAGAAGTATATTTAATGACTAGTTCCACAGTGTGTTAAGTATGCATAATATATTTTCTTTATGGATGGTGGTAATTTATCGTTCGGTTTCAGGTAGGGTTGTTTCCTGATGTATTAGAGCGCAAAGTTCAGCGACATTTTGAGCAAGGGGATCAGGTAATGAACTTTTCTGGTTTTGGTCCTTCATCTCTTTTGAGAATTTATTTTAGTGGAGTTCTGCTAATTTTTTCTCTTTTCTCTTTTTGACAATGATGGTTGGAAGGTTTCAGCTTTGATAACTGGGGAATTCTATACAAAGAAGGACCTCTTTCCAGGCTTCGGACGGCCTTTTGTCTTTAATGCAGAGATTTTATTGAAGTTAGTAGAGAGATCTTATGTGTACTTCAAATGCTATTTTGAATCAACTGGCACTCCCCTCTTTTTTTTCCTTTCAATTTTTTAAAGTGAAAACTGGTACTCCACTCTAACCAAACAGAATTCTTCAAATCATCCTATTTAGAGTAGGTCGTACACCAGAAGCTAAAGATTCAGCAAGAGTGGCCTTGAAATCACCATGGTGGACTTTAGGCTGTCTATATGAGGCAAGAAACAATTTCTTGTCATAAAAGATTGTTTATTCTGATCTATCTTTCCCTTTTTTGGGACATTTCTTCCCATAGATGACATCGTGACATTTTTTATTGCTGATCAGGATGTTGCTGGAATTGCTCAATGGGAGGATGAGCAGATTGAATACATCAAGGAGAAGGTGACTGAAGAGGGTAGACGAGAGGACCTAAAGAAAGGGAAGGCGCCTGCCCAGGTAACTTAATTGGATAGTTCTTTTGTTTGGCAGTTATATCTTATATGCATTGATTCAGAGGGAATGAATACATGAGCTAAACATGCAGGTGGCATTGGATGAGGCTGCTTTTCTGTTAGATTTAGCTTCTATTGAGGGAACTTGGGTTGACTACCTGGATCGTATTGCTGAATGTTACATGGAGGCTGGTCTACCAGAAATTGCAAAATTTATTTTGTATAGAGATTGACACCAATGGAGAACAATTTTTTAGTATAAATTTGGATGCATTTATTTTATATTAGAAAGAGAGCACTTTAGTGCAAGTTCTGTCTGATGTTCTCCATTTTAATATACAAGAAGTAAATGAAAACTTGAGAGATTGATCATTGAGAAAACAGAAGCATACATTCTTTACACTGTTTCCAAATCGAAAACTCAGTTGAGCATATTGCTACTCTTGTTTTTCTTTACTTCTTTAAAGTATGCCCTTGGTCATTTGACCAAAGCCTCATTGGCCTCCATTTCATAATTTTATTCTGAATTTAGAAGGAAAAGTATATCTTTACTTTTCAAAGTTAATGATCTTGGCATTGTAATAGTTTGAACTCTTAACCTTAACCTCAAATTAAGGTTTTTTAGTTAGTGAGTATCTACTTAAGTTTGAGTGTGGAAAAGACATATCTTGCCACCAACTAAATGTATATAGACTTGGCAAATGGACAGGTTGGGTCGGGTTTAAGTTAAGTCAACTCGGGTGATGGGTTTTACGGATTGGGTTATGAACGAGTTACAGGTTGAAAAAGTTCAATCCTAACGAGTTATGAGTTGGAAAAGTCCAATCCTAACGAATTATGAGTTAACCCGCGAGTTGATATTATTTTTATTTTTTATAATTATTTTTTATTAATTTTATTATATACAAATAAAATTATATATATTTAAATTTAATTAAAGTATTGTGAATCATTAAAACTAAATACTTTATAATCTTAACTATAAACAATTAAATTAAGAAAAAAAAATAAAGTTATAAATAATAATAAGTTGATTAACAATAACAATATTAAATGTAAAATATTTAAATTTCTTATAAAATAAAGTTTTAATTTTATAATCATCTTAAAATATTATCAAATGGTTTAAGCTATTTTTTTAATGATGAAATTGCTCTTCCAAGAACATCTTTCACTAAGTCATTATGTTTATGCCCTAGCATCACATCTTTTAATATTATTAGTTGTATTATCATTTCATTGATGATACTTGGGTAATTGTTAATACCAAAAAATAAAAATGATACGTGGATAATTAGATCAAACTCATTATAATTTTTTCGCCTTTCTCTAGAAATTAAGAAGTGCAAATTAATGGAAGAAGTTACTAATAAGAAAATTAATTGAGAATAATAAGTATAATATTTAAAAATAATAATAAAAAATAAAATAAATGAATCAACCTATCAACTCGCGGGTTCACCTTAACTCAACCCATGAGTTGATAATACAGATTATCTACAGGTTAGGATATGTAGACCTAACCCTTTTTTTTTGGATCGGGTTAGGGCCGAGTTGATTTTTGCTGAGTCTAATGGTATATGATGTTGAAAAATTTATGCTCAAATTTCTGAATGATAATCCTGTCTTCAAATGCCCTAAAACACACGTATATACATCACACTAAAGGCACTACACACCTCCCTGTTCTCTCTTTATGAATTTTCTGACAAACTAGTAAATCTCACCATTATCGAAACACCAGTCGCCACGCAAAGAAACCACATGGAATATTAGCTTCACCTGTTACGTTTACTCTCTCTAATAACAAGTATCCATTTGGACTTTCTTTCTTCATCGGCATGCCTTGCCGATACCTTTCTTCCTTCTCATCAGCAGCCTCCTCAGCAATCCAACTCCTTTCTTCTTACTTGGCACAATAGCCAAGGACATAACAGCAGCATTACCAATTTCCTTCTTTGAGCCAACACGTGTTTCCACTGTATTTATAGGGATAATAGGACATTGCAAGGCACTGCAATTACTGGGGTCAGGAACTGGAAGGGATTGTTTCTCTGCATCTTCAATGCTTAGAGTTCCTTTAACCTTGGGAGACCTGAGAATCTCTGCTTTAGCACCATCTTCTGCTAGCATCTGGTCACGCAAGGAGAAGTGTTTGTTTAACCTCTTGTTATTAATCATGGTGGTTGCAGCACCACTGGTAGAGAAAACCCTGTCGAAGAGTGCTGCTTCTCTTGGTGAGGCCAGCACCTTTAACTGCTTCCCCAGGTTCAGAATTGTTTCTTGGCACTCTGCCAGCTTCACAGAAGCTGCAGTAATTTCCCAACCCTGCATATAAAGACAGCAGCATTCAAATCATTAGATCAAACCTTTCTTTGGCACCAACCTAATAGCCTAAACTATTGGATAAAATAGCCTTGTTAAATTGTATCTTTACAAGTCTTGTTTTGGACAAGGAAAAAGAGAATGACTTACATTTTGAGGCTGTTTTTCCTCTAGGTTCCCTCCAATCTTTGGTGTTTCTTTTGCAACACTGGTTAATTTTCCAAAATCAGTATGATCTGGCATGTTCATTAGTCTCCAAAGAAAGTAGAACAAAGTATTAAAGCATTACCTCTCTAGCTGGAGTTGAAGCTCAAGACATGTTGCTTCTAGCTCTTCACAACAGTTATTTTTGTACTCCAGTTCAACTTCCATAGACGAGCACCTCTGGAAGACTTCATTCAGTTTAGCTTTGGCAATTGTGAGCTGGGTATCAAGATCTTCGTTAATTGATTTCTGATTTTCAATCTGATCCTCACTTATTTCCTTAGTGTGTTTCAAGTTTTTCAGTTCTGCTTGTAAGCTTCCAACAGTTTCTTCTGTTTCCTTAAGCTTTTCTGCCAAGGCCTTGCTCTTATCTGTTGCTGATTCCAACCTGGCCTCCATTTTCTTCAATGCATCTTTTAAACTCTTGTTTTCTTCTTGCAGCAACTGAATACCTTCTATTGCAGATTTGTCATTTTGGTCATGCGCTGATTTAGAAACAGGATCAATAACGGATTCCATGCACCCTCCATCTACAATGTCATTTCCACTTTGTGATTTATTCCAACCAAAATGCCTCCGGATCTTATTCCTTGTGCTTGAAGCATCTTTAGGAGTAACACAGTTGTTCAAAATCCAGTCTAATGTATGTGAGATTTCTCTAGCAAAATTTTCAAGATCAGCTTCTCCATTCAAGAATAAGTTGCAAGTACAAACAAATTGTTGCAGAACAGTGCTTAATTCAGAACTTTTCCATTGAAAAACATGGATGAAGTAGTCTGTATCTTCTGCAAATTCCCTTGGACTTTGATCCCTCTCAAAACAACTGCTTAAGGCATTAGAAGATGTTAAGTTGATCCCTTCAACCAGCTCAATGATTTTACTGATTGAGTTACTCAGATTCAACTGAACCTCCTGCTTCTTTGTTGCTTCTGCCTTGCTTACCACAGTGGAATCTCCACTCAATGAACTTGTGAGAGGAGATGAGTTTGGAGAATTCCAGGTTAGGAAACCACTGATAACAAGAGGGTCTTTAGGACTGTCTACTGAGTTTTTCATTTTGCTGATATCACGGGCACTTCGATGACTTGTATAACCCAAAGCAATCTTGATGTCCTCAAGGAGTTCATCTAGACTTCGCTTTGAAATACGTCGTTGCTCTGAGATAGCATTCAGCACAACCTGAAGCCAATCAAAAGGTTTTTCAGTTGCTACATCTTTTGAGAATTCTTTTGTTTCGCTGAAGCCAGATTTGCCTGGTGCTACCGGAACCAATTCCTCACCACCTGATACTTGATGACGTCTGCCACCTGAAGCGTGTCCCACTGAAACTAAGGCCAACTTCTCCATTTCCACAAAGTCATCCATTAATGTCATCTCTGGAACTATGATTGCTTTGCTTTCTTGTGGGTTCTTGTGGTTTCCATCTATGAAATGCTCCAGTTCTGAAATCAGAGCATTAGCCCATGAACTGGAAGAGGTTACTCCACTATCACTGACGATGTCAAAACCTGATCTTGGAGTTAGCTCACTCGATATGGTGCTACACTGGGCCACCTCCATTAAGTTGTTCTGACCATTAGAGAGCCCTTTGAGCTGAGCCTCAACTTGTGACAGTCTAGATGACGTTCGAGAATACATCAGCCTTGAAGATTGAAGTTCAGCATTTTTATTAGTTGCTATTTGTTTAAGAATCTTGTTTTCTTCCTCCACATTGCGCAACTGCTCTATCAGGTGACTGAGACTATCAGTTTGGATTCCAGGAGTGTTTTCCATGGTGCAGTCTCTTACAACCAAACTTCTATTGGAATTTGTCTTTTTTCTCATCTCTACCTGTTGGTCCCTTCCCAGCATTTCTACTTCACTCTTCAGTTTCACCATGGCAGCTGGACCTGGCAGCCTCTTTCGCAAGAGCAGACGTAACCTCTGACATTCGGATTCCAACTTTGTGATTTTCTTTACACTCGCCAAGTGCTGCTTGTGTGCTGCATCCACTGACTGACGGCTGTATTCCAACTCCTCATTTCGGATATCAAGCTCCTTCTCTAGAATACGAAACTCATATTTCAAAAATGCATTCTCCTTTTCCACAGAATCTAGTCTAGCTATTAGAGTACTAAATTCAACTTCTGCTTGCAGCTTCTGCTTATGCTGATCATCAATCAACTCCTCTTTGACTAGCAGGGCCTTACTTAGATGAGCATTCTCAATGGCTAATTCCGTGACTCTTCTTCTTGTCTCCACCAACTTCTCTTCTAATGCTTTTTGTGCCTTCTCAAGCTCACATGATGTTTTCAAGATAGCATCACGTATCTTTCGCTCTTGCTCTTCTCGAACAAACTCTAATTGTTGCATGCATTTTTTCAGTGCAGCATCCGAATGTGTTAACTTTTCATTTGCCTCTACTCTGTGCCTCACAGCTTCATCTAATTCTTTCTTCAGGAAGACTACTTCTGCTTCTGCCTTTTCCCTACCTGAAAGAAATTTTTCACCTTCTAGATCAGACAAAAATCAAAGCAAACATTCATTCAAACAAGGTGGATTAACATAAGTGAGAAAGGAGTAAGGATAAGAGGGAGTTACCTGCATTGGCTTCTTGCAGCAGTTTTTCCTTTTTCATCTCAAGGTCATTGTTAGCATGACAATCTAGGAGGACTGATGCAAGCTTCTCGTTGAGGTGTTTCGCTGGTGTATCATATCCCCTCTCTGCTGGATGTGTCTGTACCTAACATAACCAAAAATCAAATACAAGGATTTTAACAAGTTGAAGGAAATGGAAAAGAAAAGGAGTTGGCAAGATTGCTTCAAAACTCTACTTCTACTAACTCATCAATTTTAGAAAAAGTGAAAAATGAAAAAATGGAACTTATAAGTTGCACTGAAAATGGATTCAAGAGCTTTCTGAGTTACCTCTCCATCAGTATGTTTCAAGGAAATGTCGACCTTGTCAGCTGCAACAATTGTCTTCTCAGAAGACTTTTTCCTCCAAAGCCATGTCTTATGGTCCATAGTCTTTCTTTCTATTTCAGAGCAAAAGAGTGCAGAATCATTATGTCAGCAACTTAAAGCAGAAAATGTTAAATGGAAAACAAAAGGCAACCAAATTCAGATAATGCAAAACATTAACTACCAATAACTGTTCCAATGATAATCAGCTAAAAGAGGGCTGAAATAGTACTACCATTTAGCAACCAATAGGTACAACTTCCTTGTGAGACAAAACTGTTAATCTGCCATACTTTGCTAAATCCTGATGTACAATCTCAATCCTAATCAACTAGGAGACGACGATCCAGCCAAAAGAATGCAATCATTTTCCAGATACATCAGTTGCATACAGAAACATTAATCACTGCTTTAGGATGTCAAGGTTAACACACACTAAAATTGCACAAAAATGCTTTTCTTACAACTCATTTAAAGTAATTTTGCCTCAAAATCACTAATTTTACCTTCTATAGATAATCAACAACCATGCAGCATATGTATCTAGATTCTAGTCTTCTAGCTTGTACAGATCAGCATCCCACATCTTACACTGGTTAAATTTCTATCACGAAAAAACTTATCAGACCATCAAAGCTAAAACAGGAGAACATGAAGATGAAATCTAACACTTCCTAGGTAAATTTAAGGGCAAAAAAAAAAAGAAAAAAAAGAGAATGATTCTGTCAAAGTTGATGATGGATGAATATAAATAGCAAAAGCCCACTTGGCTTAAACAATGTTCTGAATTATCCTTCAAGAGATGCTAGTAATAAAAAAGCACAAAACCCCAAAAGCATAAGACAAAAAGAAGAAATACTATAGAAGATAGTGATTTAGTTCTCACCTAGGCTTGAGCAGAACCAGATGGTAGTTGTTGTTTCAGGAGTTCAATGATCAAGTGACATTCCGGTACCAGAAAACACAGAGAATGACTAAATTTGAAGAATGTGTGTGAACTTTCCAAGCAAAGTTGGTGATGAAAGTGAAATGGAGAGTGATGGAAAACAGAAACCACCCAAGACCCAGATGCAAGAAGGCTACGAAGGGAGCGAAGAAGGTTAGTACAGCACTTAACATTGGATGCTAGCGTTCCACCGACAGCCTGCCCAAGTGTTAATTATGAGGTGGCAACAACTACAATAAAGGACTTGGAAAAGGAAAATAAAGGAGAAAAAGGAAAAAAAATAAAGGAAAAGAAGAAGAAAAAAGGGAGAAACAATGAAAATGCTGTAAACAGTCATAAATGGCAGCCTAAAAACAGTAAGTCAATGTTGCAATAAGCAGTGAGGCATTGGTCCGCACGTTTTAATCCAGTAGTATTAACCCTAAATTAGTTTCGAGTTTTGTGGATTCTTTTTTTTATCTTTTCTCTTAATTGTAATTATGTTTAAAAATAAAAAATAGTAAGGCATTAGATTAGCCAACCATCTTAGCAGTTCAGCGTAATTTTTTTTTAAATAAGCAATTTAAGTTGGGAAAGAAATTTAAAGAGTTATCTTTTACCAATCAAAATGCCAGAAAAAAAAAAAAAAAAGAGGTTGGCCATGGGTTAATTGAGTGTTAGGTAGGGTTTGTGAATGTCTTGATTCTTTTTTTTTTTTCTGGTTCTGAAAATTTTGATTTTATTTTACATAAGGTGAAAAATATCTTGTAATTAAAATCATTTATAATTTTTTTGTAGCTAGCCTGCACCATATCAGAAGAATTAATAACCAATGATCCTTTGTTGCTATTATTAGAAATTGAATATTTGCCAAAGTTTCCCGAAGGTTACCGCTGCCTCCTATACGTTAAATAAGGTTTGGCGAAGGTCGAATCGAAGAAACAACCTTAGAAAACATTAAGACCATGCCTTTGGAAACCTTGTGTTTGGGATACAACACCGAACAAAGAAATCGTTGACGACTTCCACTCAAACCCAACATCGGGTATTCTAAGTCACCTTTATCAAATAATAGTAATAATAATTTTTCTACTAATCTTAATATTCAAAAATTACATGAAATTTTACCAACGATATAAGTAAGTAAGTAATTATTTTTTTTTATTAAGAGTAAAATATCTAAGTTTGAATAGCATGATATACGAGTGAGGTGAACTAAGGGATAAAAAAGATAAAAAATAAAACATGATTATCTTTTATTGTGTAACGAAGATAAAAAAAATTACCTTAAATTTTAATTAATTTAAAGTTAAATTTCATCAAATCTCATCAAATCCCCCAAGAATTTTTTTTTTTTTAGAGTTTGTTTCTCTTCAATCATGAGCTCATGAAGTTTAAACTCAAAATTTTATTTTGATGAAACCAAATTCTTTTAGTCATATTAACATATTATTAGTTAAAAAAATGATAAAACTGACTCCATATTGGGTCTATCCTAATCTTAATGACCAAATCTCTAATTCTATTTTTGAATAGGGACAGAGACAGGTTTCATTCTTTTAATAAAAATAAAAGTAAATTATTTTTTAAAATTATGATAGAGATAAATAATTTATTATTTAACTCTTAATATTATTATATATTAATTTTTAATTAAAGATAAATTTAAATAATAAATAAATTCATAACATGTGATGATAACAATAATTTTTTTAATACATGTGATAATATTAATAATTAAATAATTAAATATTTATGTGAACCAATAATTTAAAAATTCCTATTTTCTATGAGAGGCAAATAGCTCTTCCCATTCCTATTTTAAGGACGGATTTAAGGGTTTAGCGTAGTCCCAATTGTGGTGTAAAATTGAGATTTGCCAGTTCCGGCCGGGCCGTCCTGGATGCGGATGGCATCAATAGATTGGTCCCATCCCATGCAATAATTTGTACACAGAGACCAATGTAGTGATAATAAATAGGGAAATGAAGGACCCAGAGGAAAAAAACTAGAGTTGGTGCGTGACATAAAACGAATCGACAAAAGCAGAAACAGCGATGAAAATGGACTCGTTGGAGTCTTTCTGGGGACATTACGCGACGCGCCTGGAGTGTTTCTGAATAACACAGCCTAACCCGTTGTGGATTTCCTGTGGATTTGTGGCCACTTGGCGGGTGGCAGTTAACACTTGGCGGTGTTTACCGCGCAAAATCAGGAAGGCTGGAAGAAAAGTGCAAGATATTAATGATGATGTCTTGAATAATAATACCTTCTTTATTATTAAAGTAGAATCTTGTAACTACCGTCTTGAAATTTAAAAAAGCACCAACAATGTTAAGAAAATAATAGGATTAAATTACTTATTTTAAAACAATTAGAAAAAATACCTTTAAGTTATATTGTTTAATTAAATCTTGTTAAGGAAACAAATTATTCCCCATCAATCTCTTGATTTACATCTTTATTATTATTATTGTAATTAATTAATTATGTAATTTTCCTTATATATGATTCAGGGCAACTGTCTCTTTATATATATATGTGGCTACCTCCACCATAAACATGAGATTTAGCAATACAAATATTTTTTCTCGAACTTGTTAGTGGCATCAAAGTGGTTAGTCTCCAATGAGAACCGATCACCATGACTTCTTTCCCTCAATTAAGCCCAAACGAGGGTACTGTTCAATTCCAACCTTCCAACCTAATAATCAAGCAAGTTGTCAATTGTGCAACCAATCCAGTCACTTTGCCAGAAACTACCCACTGTTTTGGATAATACCTCAATATCATGTTGCCAATTATGTTGCTACCCCTAATTCTACTTCTATTGAATGGCTCTTGGACTCCGGTGCAACCCATCATATCACCACAGATCTAGCAAATCTAGCATTGTATCATGAATACACTAGTTTGGATAAACTCTTAATTGGTGATGGCTCAAGTTTGAATATCACACACGTGGATCAAACCATACTTTCCACAAAAAACACCTCTTTTTCATTACATAATATCCTCTGTGTACCTAGTGCATCTCAAAATTTAATTTATATTTCTCAATTATGTAAATTTGCCAATGCTTTTATTGGCAAAATAAACATGGGGTCTATCAAATTCCTATTGTGATCCATTCCAAGTTCACACCTAAAGCCTTGGTTGGTGAACAAGCCTCGGCATTGGATTGGCATTCTTGGTTGGGTCATCCCTCACCAAAGATTCAAAATAAAATTACAGAGAAAATAAATTACCCATGTTGTCCAAGTTAGTTTCTATTTCTTGTGAGTCATACCTATGCTCAAAGAACCATAAATTGCCTTTTGGTCACTCAACCATTCAAAGTCAAGCACCATTAGAAGTTATCTATTCAGATGTTTGGGGCCCTGCTCCAACTTTGTCTATTGATGGTTACAAATATTTTCGTTTATTTATTGATCTTTATAGTTGGTATACATTGCTATTTCCTTTAAAACAAAAATCTAATGTTTCAACAAATTTTCCCAAGTTTAAATCCCTTGTTGAAAATCAATTTGGAACAAAAATAAAAATTTTTATTTTGATGGAAGAGGTGAATTTATTGGTTTAAGAAAATATATTTCTAAAAATGGAATATCTCACTTCACCACACCTCTTTATACTCCTCAACTCAATGGCATAAGTGAGCATCGTAATTGACACATTGTTGAAACTAGGCTAACTTTGCTTCATCAAGCTTCCTTACCACCTCATTTTTGGTCCCATGCTTTCCTTACTGTAGTTTATTTAATCAATTGCACACCCTCCTTTGCTCTTTCATTCCAATCTCCTTTTGAGAAATTATTTCATATTAAACCAAATTATTTAAAACTTAAAATTTTTGGGTGTGCAAGATATCCATTGCTTTGACCATATACTCAAAATAAACTTCAATTAAGATCATGTCGATGTTTATTTCTAGGATATTCTACTGAAAATCTTGGTTATAAATGCTATGATTTTCAAACAAATAAAATTTTTTACTCAAGACATGTCCAACTTAATGAGAATTTATTCCCATTAAAAACTCTTGAACCTTTCATTTCCAAAATAACTTGCCGACATTCATTCCTTTCCTCCACATTATTCTTGTTAAAAAAATTCCTCAATTAAAGTGCCAATCCAATCCCAAACACCTCACACATCCAAGGCTTCACCCCAATCCACGTTGCATTTGTCTGACCCTAGTGTAAATTTGCTCTCACCAATTGTCATTCCTATCTCTCGACCACATAACCAAACCATGCCACCTAACCCATCCACTCCACCAAATCAAATTCTACTTCATTTTCATCCTTGTCCACTTAATCAACCCCAAATCCTACTTCCGTACCCTCCTTATCTGATATTGCAGATTCAACATCCTTCTCACCATCTCATAAGAATACCTCACCTTCCTCCAATCCCACGCCCTCATTGGACACTTCCAAATCTACCTCCCCTATTGCAACACCGCCACCCACCATAATTCACCCCATGGTTACTTGATCCCAAAACCAAATATTTAAACCAAAAAAACTCTATGTTGTTGACACATCCTCCTTTCTCATTCCAACTGAACCAATGTGTAAGAGCTAAGCCATGAAAGATCCTCAATAAAGGCAGGCCATGTTGGAAGAATTCAGTGCGCTAGTAAGCCAAGGAATGTGGGATCTTGTCCCTCTTGAACCTAACCAAAATATCATCGGTTGTAATTGGGTTTTTAGGTTAAAGAGAGGCAAAGATGGCCAAATTGAACGCTATAAAGCAAGGCTTGTCACTAAAGGATTTCATCAAAAACTTGCCTTTGATTACTTTGAAACTTTTAGCCCTGTGATTAAACCAACAACAATTCAAACG